ATGGGAATATAAAATGATGCTGCTGCTGTGAAATACAGTTTGGCAGTTCCGCAAAAAGCTAAACATAGAATTACCATTGGATTCAGCAATTCCACTCCTAGATACACACATAAAAGAACTGAAAACAGGTATTTAAACAAAAACTTGTACACAAATATTCATAGCAGCACTATTTACAGTAGCTAAAAGGCAAACACAACCCAAATATCTATCAACAGATGAATGGACAAACTAATGTGGTGCATCCATATGCTATGGTTTGAATGTGTCCCCAAAGTTCATGTGCTGGAAACTTAATCCCCAATGCAACAGTGTTGGGAGGTGAGACCTAATAAGAGGTGATTAAGTCATGAGGGCTCTCCCTCATTAATGGATTAATGTCATTATCTCAGGAGTGGGTGAGTTATTGTGAGAGTGGCTTTGTTATAAAAGTGTGTTTGGTGTTTCTCTCTCTCTCTCCCCACTTCTGCCTACCACAATGAAATAATGCAAAAAGAAAGGCTTTGCCAGATGCAGGCCCCTCAACCTTGAACTTCCCAACCTCAAGAACTTTAATAAAAAAATCTGGTTTTCAGGCCAGCCCGGTGGCGCACTCGGTAGAGTGCGGCACTTGGGAGTGTGGCGGCGCTCCCGCTGAGGGTTCAGATCCCATATAGAAACCAGTCCGCTCACTGGTTGAGCGTGGTGCGGGCACGACACCGAGGGTTGCGATCCCGTTGCCGGTCGCAGTACGGGCGCGACACCGAGGGTTGCGATCCCGTTACCGGTCACGAAAAAAGACAAAAAGGAAAAAAAAATCTGGTTTTCATGAATTACCCAGTCTCAGGTATTCTGACATAGGAGCACAAAACAGATTAAGGCAGAAAATTGGTACCAGAAGTGGGGTCATTGCTATAACAAAGACCTGAAAATGTGGAAATGGCTTTAGAACTGGGTAATGGGTACAGGCTGGAAGAATTTGGAGGAGCAAATAGGAAAAGCCTAGATTGCCATGAATAGAGCACTAAGGGCAATTCTGGTGAGGGTTCAGAAGACGACAAGAGCTATAGGAAGAGCCTAAATATTCTTAGGGATTACTTAAGTGGTTGTGGTCAGAATGTTGGTAGAAATATGGACAGTAAAACTACTCTGATGAGGTTTCAGATAGAACTGAGGAACAAGATATTAGAAACTGGAGTAAAGACCATACTTGTTATATAGTTGCAAAGAATTGCTGGAATTGTGTCCATGTCCTAGGACTTTGTGGAAGGCAGAACTTAAAAGTGATGAACTAAGATAACTGGCAGAAGAAATATATAGCAGAAAAGTGTTCAAAGAGCTGTGTGGCTTCTTTTGGCCACTTACAAGAAAATGAAAGAAGAGAGAAATGATTTAAAGACAGAATTTATAAATAAAATGGAAGTAGAATGGAAAGATTTGGAAAACGCTCAGCCTGGTCATGTAAAAAATAAAAAAGCACGTTTGGGAGAGAATACTAAGGGTTTGGCCAAGCAACTATTTGCTAAAGAGATTAATATAGATAGAAGGAAGCCATGTTCTATTCATCAAGATAATGTGAGAATGACCCCAAAGGCATTTTGGAGATCTTTGAAGCTCCCCTTCCCATCACAAACCCAGAGTTCTAGGAGGGCAGAATGGTTTCCAGGGACAGGCCTGGGGCACCCTTCATGGGCTCATTGCCCAGGGCTGTCTCAGGACTCTGCTTGTCACATTTCAACACAGTGCTCCTTGGCCACACCACCTGTGGCTCAAGCAGGCTCAGATGTGGCTCAGGCTGCAGTTCCAGAGAGCACAAGTGGTATAAGTCTGGGAGACATCCGTGTGGTGTTGACTTTGCAGACACAAAGAATGCAAGAGCTGTGAAGCCATAGTGGCCTCCACCTAGATTTCAAAGGATGTCATGGACAGCCTGGGGGCTCAGGCAGAGACTTGCCACAGTGGTAGAGCCACTGCAGAGAGCTCCCACTAGGGCAAGGAGCCATGGGAGTCAGGCAGCCCCCAAGACCCCAGAACTGCAGGGCCACCAGCGTACAACTCCAGCCTGGAAAAGCTGCAGGCACAAGACTCCAACCCATGACAGTCGCTTCACAGGCTGAGCCCAGCAAAGTCATAGGGTTAGGGCTGCCTGAGGTTTTGGGAGCCTGAACCCCACCCCAGAATGCCCAGGATGCAGGACATAGACTCAAAGGAGATTATTCTCTGGTTTTAAGAATTAATGTTGTTTTCCCTGCTGGGTTTTGGACTTATATAGAACCAATTACTCCTTTTTTTTTTTTTTCCTATTTTCCCCTTTTGGAATTTGAATGTTTATCTTATGCCTTTCCCTACTGTATGTTGGAAGCACATAACTTGTTAATTTCCCAAGTTCTCATCTGGAGAGGGATTTGCCTCAGGGTGAACTGCACCTTGAGTAACATCAGTATCTGATTCACTGGAGACTCTAGACTTTGGACTTTTTTTTTTTTTTTTGTCTTTTTTGTGACCAGTAAGGGGATCGCAACACTTGGTGTGGTGTCGCCCGCACCGCGCTCAGCCAGTGAGCGCACCGGCCATTCCTATATAGGATCCAAACCCACAGCAGGAGCGTTGCGTGCTCCCAGCGCTGCACTCTCCCGAGCGCGCCACGGGGCCGGCCCTGGACTTTTGAGTTTGTTCTGGAATGAGTTAAGGCTGTTGGGGATATTTGGATGAAATGAATATATTTTGCGCTGTGAGGAGAACATGAATTTTGGGCCAGGGTGGAGCACTATGGTTTGAATGTTTCCCTCAAAGTTCATATGCTGTAAACTTAATTCCGAATGCAACAATGTTGGGAGATGGGGCCTAATAAAAGGGGATTAGGTCATGAGAGCAAAGCCCTCATAAATAGATTAATGTCATTATCATGGGAGTGGCTTTGTTATAAATGCAAGTTCACCACCTGCCCCTCTTCCCCGCTCTCTCTCTCTCTTGTTCTCGCGCTCTCTTGCCCCTCTGCCTGTCACCACGGGATGATGCAGCAAAAAAGCCCTTAACAGATGCGGCCACTAGTGACTCACCACTTAGATTCCAGCCCAGAGCCAGGTTTCCAGGTGCCACACAGGGAATGAGCATGTATCCAGGCCACACAGGAGAGGTGTCCCAGCTGTGGAGGTCACTTGTCTGGTCATGAGGTGGCCCAGGTCCCACATGAAGCCTCATGAGCCTTTCAGACACTGTTACAAATACACCAGCCCAGGTGTCCCCTGAGGCCAGCTCCAGGAAGTGGATTCATGCTAGTATTTTTATACTTGGTTAGAGTTGAGGATGCCTGCCCCTTGTTTCCATCCACACCACTCGTCCCACTCTCTGCATGCTGAAGGTACACCCTGTCCCACTCTCTGCATGCTGAAGGTACACCCTGTCCCACTCTCTGCATGCTGAAGATACACTCTGGGGCCTGTCTGTCCCCCACTGACCAGTGGGTATCTGGCTGGGGCTCCCCAAAAAACCTTGGGGGCTCCACAGGCACGCAGCGAAGGAGGGATGCCAGAAGAGGCTTTTGCCTTTGAGGGCCTTGGCTGCAAATACTTCTTTCTTCTCAGGCCACAGGAACATGGGAGCTCTCAGAACAGATGTCCCCCATGACTCAGCACCCAGAGACAGACCGGCCTCCATTTTATTCTGCCTTCAAAACTTTAGCACCCCTAACCCCAGGATGGTCTCATCCCAGCAACAGCCTCGAGCCCAGTGGCCAGGCCCTCTTGTAACCTTCCTGAGGCTCCCAGGAAGGGCAGGTGGTATCCTGGGAGGGGTCATGGTACCGGGGGCCAGCAGGAATGTGGAGACCACTGACAGAGGCAGGAACACTGTTATGGGTTGAATTGTTTCCAAAATTCATATGTGGAAATCCTAACCCCCAGTACCTATGAATGTGACCTGACATGGAAATAGGGTCTTTGCACATGATCTAGTTAAGATGAAGTCACTACAGTCAGCCTTAATTCACTGTGATTGTATCCTTATAAAGGGGGGGATTTGGACACAGAAACACGAGAGATGGCTTATAAAGTCTGGAGCTGTGTTGTCACAAGCCAATAAACTAACAGAAGCTGGAGCAAGCCTGGAACTCTAGCACCTTCAGAGGGAGCGTGGCCCTGCTGACACCTTGGGCCCAGATTTCTGGACATCAGAACTGTGAGACAACAAATTTCTAAGCCACCTGGTCTATAGCACTTGGTTATGGCAGCCCTAGAAAACTAACACAGGCACACTCTGCTCTACCCACCAGCCCTTCCCCAGACCGCAGCTGCCTCCCCAAGCCCACCCTACAACCAGGCGAGGGGTGCAAGTAGGGCCCTGCATAGGCCATGGCCACTGCGGTGTGGTCACTTCCAGCCCTGACTGTCTGGGAGCTCTGGCCTTAGCACCCAGTCCCCTGGTGCCAGTGGGAGGATGAGGACAGGAGTGGGAGGGAGTCGGCTTCCCTGGACCTGGTCACTAAGCCTCCACCCTGATGTTCCTGGAGTCCAGAAAGCCCAGGGCTGGCCTAACTCCATCCCTCGTATTTCTCCTGGCCCCTCCTCCCAGCCATCGACAGTTTGGAGGAGCCAATATGTCCCTTTCCATCTCAGGAAGGCACCGAAGAGGGTGCACCACCTGGTCATGGCATCTCACCTGTGCTCACCGGGCCCAGGCTGGCCCTTTAAGACCATGAAGACAAAACAGGCTGTGGGCACACAGCTGTTCTCAGAGAGGCCGGGGACAAAGCCAGGAGGGGAGGGGGAAGCTGGGTCCTAGGGGAGGGTGCTGCACAGAGGAGGAGGAGGAGCCTCCTGTCTCCCTCCAGAAGGGACCTCTGATCACTGCATAGGTGCCCCTTTGCAGGAGACGCAGTCCCAGCCAAGGGTCAGCTCCAGAGGTCTTAATTTCATTTTACCCAAAAAAGACATAATGTAGCTGCGTAAGCCAGAGCTCTAGAAATTCCAGGCCTGAGCCCACTGTCTGCTTGGATAGAAGGGAATACGGTGCCCAGTAGTTCCTCATGTAGCCCACGCCTCTGACTGCGAACAGCTCCCACACGGGCAGGTGTTTGGGCCCTGCAGGTCACAGGAAAGGCCACAGGGCAAGGCTGGGATGGGCCCAAGGCTCTGCGTGTTTCCTGGGAGGCCTGAGAGGCTGCATTCTCCATAGCAGCCCAAGGCACAGTAGTCACTGCTGCCGCCCTCTGAGTCTGGGGCACCCAGTCTGGTGGGGGACGCAGGGGCCCAGTTCTCCTGTGGCAGGTAGACAGGAGTCTGTCCCCCACACTCCACACTCCCAGCTGGCAGCATGTCCTTGGAGCCTGGGGCCCCGGGGAGGCCGGTGCCCTCTTCCCCCAGGCCTGAGGATTGCTGGTAATGCACCGGGCCGTAGGTGAGCAGTGCGATGGCCTCCTGGACGCCGGGCTCCGAGGCTCCTTGTAGGGTGACAACACTGTCCTGGCTCAGCTGCAGACCAGCTCTGTGGGCCCCTGTCCAGGTCTGGAACAGAGCACAGGGAGGGAGAAGGGGTCAGGAGCATACACAGGATTCACCCTGGGAGCAGGGACCTCCCCCTGGCAGGCCCAGCCTCTATGCCTCCTCCAGGAAGCTCCCCTGACATCCACTTCCAGAGGCCAAGCAGCACCTGTGCCTGGAACATTCTGTCTACTTCCCCATGTGCTAGCCCGGCCTCAACACAGGACCCTGAGTCCTTTCAGGCCCCTCACTGCCTCCCAGCACAGGGCCTGGTGATCACAGCAGCAGGAACTAGGTTGACAGGTGCCAAAGACAGAGAAAATCCCTGGCAACATGATGCCCCGGGGCCTTTCAGCAGCTGTAGAGACCGGACATCCCCACCCCAACCCACTTACACACACACACACACACACACACACACACACACACACACACGCAAGATAGGACATGGTCTCGGGACTGGCACCTTTTAAAATGTTGGGCTAAGAGCAGCAGCCCTGGACCTTCTGTGCACCCCACCCCCAAAGAGGAAGCTGTTCCTTCATGAGGACCAGGGGCCTCCACCAAATGCACCACACATGCCACACCCATCCCTCCCATCACTGTGCTGATTCCTGGAAAGCAAACTCATGGTGTCAGACCACCACCCGAGGGTCTAAGTGACCCCTGGCAGGCACCATGGTTCTACAGAGGAAGGGCTGGCTGTCTGCAACTAAATGGCACAGTCGGGGGTCAATCACAATTCTTGTCCCTCTGGGTCTTTGCCTTCAGCTGCTCAGGGCTCTTGACAGTCACATCCACTGCTTTGGGAAAACCACCTTGAAAACTAGGCTCCCCGTAGACAGAGAAAAGGGTTTTCCTGCATAATAAGCTGGAGACACGGTGTGGAGGAGATACCCGTGCCACAAAGGGTGGCGGGAAGCCCCAGGCCACCAGAAGGGGAGGTCCTGGGGAAGGCCAGGATCAGCTTGGCCCAGACCCTGGGGGGGAACCGAGCACCATTTGCTGTCCTTTGCCCAAAGTAAGGGGCTTGAGAGGGCAGAAGCAGAGACCACCCGCTAGAGCTTCTCCTCTCCCCCAGCCTTGCTCATCCCACCCGGGGGAGGGGGCAGAGGGGTCTGCACGATGGTCAGACGCAACCCTCCGTGTTGCTCTCACTGCCCAGGGCAAAGGGGAAAAGCAGAGTCACCTCACCAGCTGTGATGCCAGTGTGCTACCCAGGGGACCAGGACAGCCAGGCACTCCACCACAGCCCCAGAATAGGAGTCCAGGGCCAGTGAGGGCCCCAAGGACAGACAGCACAAGCATCAGGGACCCTTCCTCATGGCCACAGGACGCAGACGGCCTTGGAGGAGGAGGCGAGAGGGACAAGGGATGAGACCGGTGGTGGGTCCAGGCAGCCCCAGTTTGAACCTCAAACTAACCATTCACCTCAGCTGCAAACCAGAGGAGGTTTACATTTTTTCCATCGACAGTGGAACTGGAGACGAGAACAGAAAGAAACCAGCAATAGAAAGTAAAGCTAACTTCTCTTGCCTATTTGTGACAAGCGTGCAAATTTAAAACCACCATATATACAAAAAAGCCTCGAAGCACTGACAGAGGCCCCTACCTTACCCCAATCCTCATCAAAGCCCACATCCTGGGCAGGCCAGACCTGTGGGCAACACGTGTCCCCGCGCCCTGTGGTGGCCCTGCACGCACCTGGAAGTTCCCATGGTGCACACTGTAGAGGGGCTGGAAGAATGCCACTGGTGAGGGCACGTGCTGGTAAAGGATCCTCTTCACCCTGCGGCCAGGAGAGGACAGTCAGAGGCCTATGGGGACCCAGAAAGCCTGAGGTCACAGCAGGGACCTGAGCTCCTTCTGACCAGTGGGTGACCCTCCACCTCACCCATCCTGCTGCCACTCTCCCCTCTTGCTGCCCCCAAACCTGCCCTCAGGGCAAGACCCAACTTGGCACCCTGTGGCCTCCCTGGCTAATGGACCATAGAACTTCTGTGCAACGAGACACATGTCCTTTACAGGGTGTGCTGCGGTGTGGGGTCCAGCCGGGTCCTCAGCTCTCAGAGGCAGCCGGCAGCTCCAGCACCCACATCTGCCTTTAGCACATGGTCTGCAGCTCCCAGGCCCATTCAAATCTCCCTGAAGACCAGACCTGCCTGCTGGGACCCACTCGTCCTCCCACCAACATCACCAACTTTGCCACCAGGCATGGCCCCTCCAGTTGCCAACCTCAGGGGCCACCACTCACATCTTGCCCATCCACATGCCCAGCTTCCCCCCTGCCGGCAATGCCTCCACCTTGCCCTCTCCACTTCTCCCACTGGTTCGTCAGGTCTCCTCTTCATGGACACCACCACCAGCTGCCCAGCAGGTCCCCACAGACCCCCGCACTCCAACAATCCATTCCCAAAACATAAACCAGTTTGCACCACAGATTAACCCTCTTCAAGCACTTTCCTTTGCTCCAAGGAGAAGCGGGCACCCTCCTGCCTGGCCCTACCCAGCACCCCCTCTCCACACCCTCTAGCTCTTTCTCCAACCTCCGCCTGTCCTCTCGCTACAGGACGTGCCCCTCGGCGCCTCCTGCAACCTGACATGTGGCACACGAGGCATGGCAGCCTGTTCAAGGAGGGCCCTTGTCTATCTGGTTCTCTGTGGCATTGCCAGAGTCAGGAACAGGGTCCTGGGCACACCAAATGCCCCAAACTGTATTTTCTTAGAAAGTGTGAACAAAAGAGCCAACACCAGACACCTCCAGAGCAGGAGATGGGCCCTTAGGTGACTTGGTCCTGGGGACTCTGGGTCACCCCATGACTGGTTGGGGCCAAGCTGCCCTCCTCTTCGGGCTTTGCCACAGCACCCTGTTCCCCCCCTCCCTGGGCAACTTGAGAATCCCTGCAGCCGAGGGCAGAGACTTGAAAACCACACCCATCCAAGACCAGACAGTGGGGGCAGGGGGAGGAGGTCCTTGAAGCCACACTCTCCACACACTCACATGCATGCACACACGGGCACACGCTCACATGCACACACTCACACATGCACACGCACCTCGGCAACCTACCTGGGTGACACCTTGAACAGGATGTAGCTCAGGCCGGTCAGCAGGAGGAAGATGGACACAGCAACAAGGGTGCTGTCCGGCCGTCCCCAGGATGGGATTGGGGGGCCTATGGGAAAAGGAAGGGCCCAGGGCTGTGAGCAGTCTCAGCACCGGGGGGAATCCCCCTGAACCCGCACTGCAAAGATGCCTGCACCAGTGCCCTGGGCCACATGGAGAGAGTGTGTGGCGGGTGTCAGAGGTCTGTGTCGCGCCCGCTGAAGTTCACCTTTGGGCCTCCTGGCAGGCTTGGGAACCAGCTCTGCTGTGTGCAGGGTCAGCCCAGCCCTCGCAGAGGTCATGTCTGGGCAGAAGCGCCAGCCCCGGTGTGCAGCCAAGGGCCACACTCGCCCCTGGTGACAGCCACCACTGCGGATTCCTAGGGAGCCCAAGGGACGGCAGGCATTTGTTTCCTCCTTATGCATCTCAGACCTCCAAGGAAGGGGGTCACCCAGGGCGTGACTGCCTCAGGGTGAAAGGGTAGCAAGTGGGATCAGCAGGGGAGAGGAGGCCCAGCCCTGACCCCAGGAGTGGGGCAGCTGGGCAGCACCCACCTCGTCCCTGGGGAGATGGGAAGTGCACAGGCTGGCTCCACTCGCTCCACTGGCCCTCGTAACGCTCCTCCTCTGCCACACCGTCCTCCAGCGTGGCCATCTGGACACGCAGCCTGGCCTCATATATGGTACCAGGGTCCAACTCGATGGCTTCAAGGAGGAGCCAGGTCACTCCAATAATGCGGTCCTTGTGCCGGGCCCACTGAGGGGTTGGGGACAGTCAGCAGGTGCTGAGGGCAGGCTGGGCTCCTCAGTCCACGAGCACAGTTGTTCTTACACACACTCATACGCACACCCACACACAGACACACCTGTGTTCACTCACACATATGAGCACACGCACACCTGCACGTACACACACATCCGAGGCACATTTTCACACTCGTCACACTTGCATGCACAGTCAAACATACGTGGGTGCACAGAGGCACACTCACTACAGTCATGCAGGCATGCACACGCGTGCACAGGCACACTCATCACCCACACACACACTCCTAGACACAGGCACATGTTCTCATGCACACACTGCTTGCATTTGCACAAGCACATACGTGCATGTGCAAACACAGGTGCTGCACACACAGGTGGCCCTGGCCCCCTCCCCTCCACATCATTCAAGTTGACACCACCCTATGTAGGGTCTGCCCCAGAACGCTGCCCCTGGGACAGAGAGGCCCCCGGGAAGCCAACCAGAGCATTACCTCCCAGGCCTCTGCCCGCCTCTTGAAGGCCAGCTCATAGCTGAGCAGCGCGCTCATCGGTTCCAAGGCGGGGCTGATGCTCCAGGTCAGGACACAGTAGCCAGAGCTGAGATTGCTCTGCAAGTCACAGGGAGGGTCCAGCTTAACTGGAACAGATTGAGGCTGTGTAAGGCCAAGCCCCACGGCTCTGGGCATGTTAGTTGGCACACCCAGGACAGGGGATCTGAAAGATTCCCAAGGGGCATGGTCAAGGCCCTCTCAGACCAGGGGCCTCACTGGGAGACTGGTCTGGAAAAGCCCCAGGTGAGACAGGACAGCAGTGACTTCCTCTGGCCCCCGCAGCTCAGCAAGGTGGTTTCCAAACCCCTTTATTCCACAATCAGCTGCTGGAAGTTCCTCCCAGTGTCTTATTGGGGTCCTTCCTGCTGTGACTGAAGTGACTCAAACTGCAGCCCCTGCACCAACTCGCAGCCCTGCATCTTCATCCCCCGCCAAAACCCTGCCCCTATAGTCACCACATGGCCCTCCTCTCCCAGGAGCCCAGCGTGTTCCCAGCCCTTGCTCTTACTCCTCAGGGACTGAGAACACTTACAGGACCACGCACATCATGGGAAGCAGGGCCTGTCCCCAACCCCCAAGCAGCCAAGATGTTCCTGCCAAGGCACCTAGGTCTCTGGCCACCCCTGCTCACCATGTCTCCGGGGCAGGTACTGTGGGTCCACCAGGCTGACCTGCTCCTTCCCAGAGACACAGTGGTGGAAGGTGATGGTGAAGTTGTCGGATGGCACCAGCATCTCCTCGGGCGGCAGCACCACGGTGCACATGCTGCCCTGGAACACGCACGTGTGCTTGCTGCCAGGTGCCTGGTTGCTGGGAAGGCCATGTATCAGCACCAAGGAGCTGCTGCACCATCTCAGCACCAGCCGCTGCTATAGGACCCACCGCCCTCGTTCCCCCTGCCTGGCCCTCCATCCTCACCTGGTAAAGAGGAGCCAGGGGCCAGAGCCCTGGTCCACCTCTGGAGCAGACCAGTGGCAATCAATCCTGAGGACGTAGTTGGTGAGGCAGACGAAACTCCCAGCCCTTAGCCCTGGGAACAGGAGCCCATAGTGGGTGTTTTGGGGCAGAGTGGAGGGGGGTAGGGACTGATGGCTGACACCCTAACAGGGCAGTCACAGAGAATGATCCCAGGAGAATTCAGGGATCAGGCAGGGCTGGGAGGCCTTGGAGGGGATGGGCTCTGGCCCATGGTATAGGGGCAAGTCAGGCCCAGAGAGGCATCAAGAGGTGTGGGGGAGACTAGGATCAGTGGGATTGAGGTCCAGGCTGTCCCTGAAGGACAGGCCCCAGCATAGTTAGGGCCAAAACCTTTCCCCAGGGGTCCCCCCACCCCAGTGCCCTAGTTTTCCACCGACCCACCTCACACAGACACTAGTGTTCGGCCCTCACCTTCTCCTTCCCCTGGGACTGGGACTCCCAGGCAGACGCAGGTGCACAGACAGGTGCAGATCAGGAGCCACATGCCCGTGTCTCCTGTCAGGGCCTTGTTCTCCAAGATCCAACCTGCAAGGGGCTGGGCTGAGGTCCCGCGTCAGGCACCCCATCTGGGGGGTGGGCTCCCTCCCCCACTCTGAGAGGATCACCACCCACACGCTCACATGTCTGGTGAAAGAGTCTGGGCACCACTGTCCAAGCTTTCCTAATAGGAAGCTGAAGCTCTCAGCAAGGTCACTCGACCTGACCAAAGACTCATGGCTGCAGGTGTAAGACGTGCCCTCAGACACAGATCTCCTGAGGGTCCTGGACTGTGAGTCAGCTGCGTCTGCCTGGAAGGCTCCCCTGAGACTGGCACCCAGAGGGAGTGCCTTGCCCAGGGTCACATGGCTAACCTCTACGTATCCTCCCTCCCTTTTTTTCCCTTGAATAAAGACCCATCCCAGGGTTCTGCCCCAGGAAAGTGGATGGCAGTGGGATTCCATGCAACAGATGGCACTTCCTAAACTCTGTCTGTCTCACCCCTGTTCTGAGGTACTCTGCAAAGGAAAGTGCCCCCAGAAAAGCAAGGCTCTTGGAGCTGGAGTGCAAGCCTGAGCCCCAGGATGTCTGGGGGCAGAAGCTGGCTGGGTGTCAGGAAGTGCCTGGGTGTGGTGAGGCTGCTGACCCTGCTCATCCCCTTTGCAGCTCCAGATGCTGCCACCGATAGCCCCTCAGCAGGAAGCAGGGCCAGCCTGGTTACGCAAACCTGATCAGTGACAAGGAGGAGAAAACGAAGTAGACACGCTCGCAGACCACAGCATGCCCGCCCTCGAGGAGCCCATACACCCTCAGCAGGCAGCAGGTCCTACTCCACCCCCACCCCACCCACCCCTATTCATGTACCCACAAGACACACCCCTGTTAAGACTGATGATCAGGAACACCCCACCCTTGCCTAGAGTGGAGCATGCAGCCTGGCACCACCAGCCACAGCATGAGGGACTGTGGCACGTCTGTCTCCTTCTGCAGCAGTTACTGGAAAGGAGGGAACAGGGAAGCAGCCTGAAGACAGCTGCTCTCAGGGTGTGTGAGGTCAGGGTCAGAGTGGGCACCAGGACCTGGGAGAGCTCAGGCACAGTGGCCGATTCCCGGTTGAGAGCTGACCCAGTCCCCAGGGTCTGCGCAGAATCAGGCCAGCCTGACCTCAGGCTAAGCTAGGAGCAGACAACTTGAGAGCAGGGAGTGGGGTGGCTCCGAGTTGTGGGCCATTTCTAGACAGGGAAGGCGGATGGTAGGTCAGGACCCACAAGGGACACCTGAAAGTTACAAAGTGGGGGCCAGGACACACCCTGGGAGAGCACCGAGAGCTGGGTACAGCTACACAGCAATGTGGCCATCCTGGGGGGAAGGTCCCTGCTTTTCCTCTACACAGAACGCTTCCAATGACACCTGATAGGTTGTGTAGGGTGGGTCACCACCCTCCTACAGACAAGGAAACATGCCCAGAGAGACCAGGGACTCACCCAATACCTGGCACCTCTGTTCTTGGCATGTGTCCCCCCAGCTCCCACACAAGCCTGCGAGCTTCCCAAGAGCAGTGCCTGGGAGACACCCCTCAGCACATGTCCCACAGAAGGCACCACAAATGATTTATAAACGGGGTGAAGCCACAGGCAGAACCCAAGCTACCCCCTAACCTACAGCACCACTGGCCTCTTTCTCCTCAGGGCTCTTCAGACATGGGATGGGACATTTCTGAGACAGGATCACCCCCATCCATGACCACAGACACTGGGCCAGGCCATCAGAGCAGGTGCAGACACCCACACCGACGTGCTCTCTGGTCCTGGAAAAGGTGCCAGCCCACAGAGATGCTAACAGGAGGTGTGGATAGCAGGCAGCAGGACAGACGGACAGAGGCCCAGCACCCACAGGGAAGGCACAGATAAGGCAGGGGAGGAGTGCTCACCACACACTCTGAGAGGGGAGGGAGGGTCCTGCGCCTGCATCTGTGGTGCAGAGGTCTGGGAACTCCAGGCGAGAGCACGGTGGAGGTCAGGGCTGGACCCAGACGAGCCAGCGCTGCAGAGGTGTTGAGTGGACAAGGGCACAGACCCAGGGCAGAGGGCAAGAGGGCGAGGACAGTGGTCCCAGGAGCACGGGAGGCATGGGGTGGCAGGGGCAGACTGGGGAGCTCCCTCCAGGACCCCCGCTGCTCTGCTCCACAACCTGTGCCCAGCCTCCTTCCACACTGTCCCCGCTTGGCTTCCTTCCCCAGTCACATGCCTCTCCCTTCATAAAGCCTTCCCCCCATCCCCCAGTTCCCCAATCACCTCCCCAGGCAGACCAGACACCCGCTGCAAGGCCCGTCTGGCTGGTGTCCTCGCGGCACCTGGATCCACAGGGTACAGGGCTGGAGTGGGGCTGTGGACACAGTTCTCTCGAGGGGGCCACTCTCTCAGTGAGGAGCCCCGTGTGCTGCTGCCCTCCCCAGCCCCCTGCACCTGCCCCTCCCAACACGAACCCTCCCCTCCTACACCTGGAATCCCACTGTCAGCTGCTGCCCCACCCACAGCTCCAGTGGGCATCCCATCCTCCAGCTCCACTTCTGCCCCAAAGCCCCCCAAAGGCCTGGGGGTTTAGAGGGGCTTTATCAACCCCAGGGCCTAGACCTCAACTCCACCTTGTGGTCACCACAGCTGAGTCCACCTGACCCAAGAATGCCCAGTCGCCCTTGTCCCCACAAAGTTCAGCTTAATCATCAAGAAAGCAAATCTCCCTCCATAATCAGAAACTCAGCCTGACAAACTCAGTGCCCTGCCCTCTCCTGAGCTGGAGCGTGGCCACAGTGGCCACAATGACACCCATGTTCCTTACAGGCCTGGAAATTAGTTTGTAATTCTTATGGTCAGTGCTGCAAATTCCGCCATCCCTGACAGATGCCCAAGGCCTGGACACCAAAGGGGGTAAAACTAGCAAGGTGTTCCCAAACACCACACTTCCTAGGCTATTTCCTGGGCCTGGGGACGGAAGGCCATCATCCCTCTCTGCCCCCTGAAGTTCACGCTGACTTGAGAGGTTGGGAAGCCCAAGATATAGACTCACGTTCCCAAATGCATCTGCCCAGTCCCAGCGCAAGTGTGAGGCACCCCAACCTGGAGGTGGCTTGCCACCCGACTGTCCCTGGGTGCACAGCAAAGCCCCTCAGCCTGATTCAGGAGATAAGTGCCGCACCCGGTGACGGAAGCCTCACAGAACAGGCTGACTTGGGCCGCCCACATCTGAAACCACGAGCACGACGCAGAGTTGCCATCCCGAGCAAAGCAGAGAAGTGACTGCCACCACTAATCATAAGCCAGGGAACAGTGAGGTGGGACAACCTTCCTTTCCCCGTGACACTGAGGGTTGCCAAATGTGGACTTTAATGATTTGCCTAGTAACTGGCAAAGGAGCATCTGCTGTGTCCCTCCCGAAAAACACCACCACGACATGCGTTAAACTAGCCCCAGGAGGCGAGGACCCTGGCCAGGTGCAGTACAGTGACACTGTCCCCTGTGGGCTTTTCCAAGACCAGAGGTGCAGGTCAGCTGGCACCTTCAGCCACCTAAGGTGATCTGTAAGCATCGGGGTGGAACGGGTGTTAAACATAAAAGTAATGCAGACTCAGTTAAAGGAAAACAAACAATACAGAAGGAAATTTTTTAAATTGGGAGTCCCCTTTTATCTTGCTGCAGAGGCAGCCTCTGGGAGCAGCAAGGCACACGCCCCTCCAGACACTTTCTAAATTCACCTGAGCAAATGCATATTTTTTATAGCATCACACTGTGCAGTTGGCTTTGCAGCCTTGGTTTTCCCCTGGCTGCTTTCAGCATCTCTCTAGGCCAGGATGTAAAAACCTACCTCATGCCTCCAATGGCATTATGTACTGTGGGTAATAATCCCTGCAGTGGATATTTGGATTGTCACCTGTATACGCTATTTTAAATGAAGACAGTGAACAATTCTGGGCATGGACATCTAATCAACAGAATGAATACTTCTGTAAAAAAATTTGCTAGGAGTGTAATAGTGGGGTCTCAGGGTTAGCCTTTTACATTATCAATAGGTACTGCCAAGTGGCGCTACAAAAATATTGCCCAAGGTTCTGCTCTTATCAGCAATGCAAGAATGCCTGTAACCCTCACCAACACAGTAAACATTGTCAGTGCTTTCAATTGTCACCAATGTGATGGCAAAGAAACTTCAATGTAGGGGCCGGCCCGGTGGCGCACTGCAGATCCCACATACAGACCAGCCCGAGGTGCGGGAGCAACACCGAGGGTTGTGATCCGTTGCCGGTCACGAAAAAAGACAAAAAGGAAAAAAAAAAAAAAAAGAAAGAAACTTCAATGTAATTTTAATTTTCAGTCCTTATTAGTCATGATAAGCATCTTTTCATGTATTTATAAGCTTTATGTTCTTTGGGGTCCCAAAAAAGGTCATATTTCAATGTGTATGTACGTGTGTGAGTATGTCGATGTGTATGTGCTAGTGCATGTATACACATGCGTATATGTGAGCGTGTATGTGCATGTGTGTGTGCTTCTGTGTGTATTGTGCACCATAATATCTTGGGTGAGGTTTGGATACCCCAGAACTGCAGCTCTCTGAAGGCTGAGAATGCCGGACCCATGAAGAGATCGAGCCCATGAAACCCCCTAGCAATGACCAGGGACATAGCACATTTCTTTCTGACACTTAAATTCTAACCAGCTTGGCCCCATCATATCTGTACAAGCGTGTATTTCTATACTCCCTTCAGCCACCCTGTTTTAGTCCGTTTTGTGTTGCTATAACAGAAATACCTGAGACTGGGTAATTTATAAAGAAGAGAGGTTTATTTGGCTTACGATTCTGGGACAGCTGCATCTGGCACGGGCCTCAGGCTGCTTCTGCTCATGGAGGAAAGTGGCAGGGAGCCGGTGGGTACAAGCAGATCACATGGTGAGAAGAAGCAAGAGAGAGGAAGCAAGAGAGAGAGGAAGCAAGAGAGAGAGAGAGTGCGCCAGAGTCTTTATAAGCAATGAGCTCTCACGGGAATTAATCGAGCAAGAACTCATTCATTAATCCCCCTTCCCCCAGGGCGAGCATTAATCCATTCATGAGGGATCCGCCCCCACGACTCAATCAGTTTCCAACACTGCCACATTGGAGATCAAATTTCCACATGAGTTTTGGAGGGGACGACACATCCAAACTCCATCACACCCCTTCTCTCACATCCTTCCCAAGAGAGCTTTCTCCTCTCTGTCAGAGTCCCTTCTACCTTGTTGAAGCCAGGATTTACTAACTTAAGATCAGAAAACCACATCACCCACACCATGACCCCAGAAATGGTAACCACAAGGGCTGTATAGGGAGAGAGGAAATCCTGGAGAGAAAAAAATCCAGAGAGGAGAGCCCCAAATTCTGTCTCTAAACTCTACCCAAATCTCTGGATGACCCCTGAACTACAATGTGCAGGCCAACTCCAAGCAGCACCACTAAGGTTGAACAAACTGAACAGAGTTCAGCTGCTGCCCCCTCGGGGACACAGAGTTTGCAGCCTGCCAAAACAGCAAACAAACCAAATTTTAAAATCAACACTCTCCAGAGGAATGTAACAGAATCCATAGTCTCAACAATGTACATCATTCATAATTTCCAAGATAAATACACAATTATTAGACACAGGAAGCTGAACTACATGACACATACTTAAGAGGGAAATCACTCAATGGAAACTGACTTTGGGGACCAAGTTGTTGGAAATAGCAAAGGTTTTAAAGCAGTTGCTCTAACTAAGCTCAGAGACATAAAGGAATTCCCAGTATATCTATTCCTAATGAATAGACAGGAAATCTCAGAGGAGAAATAGAAACCACAAAAAAAAAAACCAAAAGGAAAGTATATAAGTGAAAAATACATCTTAAATAAAAGGAATAAATCATAGCAGTGCATAAGACAAGGTGAAGCATTAAACATAAGGAATCCCTCAAAGAAGGCAGAAAATTGAGATTTCATTGGGTTGATGGAGGAAACCACACCCTAAAACACACACAGGAGAGGACGTCTGTGAAAGTGGGCAATAGGAGGGAGTCTTGGGCAGTCATCAGGATTCGTTATATTCCTAAACAGAGCAGCCCAGCAGGTCAGCCGTTCCTCCACACTTGCACTTGTGTCAGGCTGTGCTAGTTGAGGAATCTGCCCACAAGCTGGACACTTAGACTAGGAAAGAAGGCCAATGCCTCCTTGCCCAGAAAACGCACTGACAGCACACCCACCTCCTCTCCCCTGATAAATGGAGATAAAAAGAAACAGCATCTATAGATGTGAGGAAACCTCAGACACAAAGAGCACACAGCCAGGAATCACCAAATACCTATGGAAAGCCAGCACCATAAGCGACAGGCACCAAATAATAACAAACACTATCAGTCAGGCATGTTGTAAGAATCTTATATATGTTAAACTACATAAAGTGTCACAACTCTATGGGGAAGAATGGGGTTAGCAAAACACACAGTCCAAATTCAGCCCACAGTTTATAAAAATCTATGAACTAAGAATGGTTTATATATTTTTGAATAGTTGGAAATAATTTTTTATGAGGTACATGACACATGAAAATAATATGAATTTCAAAGATTCTTACAACATGCCTGACTGATAGTGTTTGTTATTATTTGGTGCCTGTCGCTTATGGTGCTGGCTTTCCATAGGTATTTGGTGATTCCTGGCTGTGTGCTCTTTGTGTCTGAGGTTTCCTCACATCTATAGATGCTGTTTCTTTTTATCTCCATTTATCAGGGGAGAGGAGGTGGGTGTGCTGTCAGTGCGTTTTCTGGGCAAGGAGGCATTGGCCTTCTTTCCTAGTCTAAGTGTCCAGCTTGTGGGCAGATTCCTCAACTAGCACAGCCTGACACAAGTGCAAGTGTGGAGGAACGGCTGACCTGCTGGGCTGCTCTGTTTAGGAATATAACGAATCCTGATGACTGCCCAAGACTCCCTCCTATTGCCCACTTTCACAGACGTGGATCGCAACCCTCGGTGTTGCTCCCTGCACCTCACTCAGCCAGTGAGCGGGAACCGGTCCGTATGTGGGATCTGAACCCTCGGCGGGAGCGCCGCCACGCTTCCCAAGCGGCGCACTGTAGCAGTGCGCCACCGGGCTGGCCCAGAGTTGTGTTTTTTTAATAACATGTATTTATTATAGTAAAGTACATAAAACAAAGTTTTGCATCTTAGCCATTTTTAAATGTACAGTTTAGTGGTATTAAGCACATTCATGTTGTTGTGTAAACATCACCACCGTTGTAGTGGATTGAATTATGTCCGCCCCAAACTCCCTGAAGCTTGAGTTGTATCCCCCAAGTTTTATGTATTAGAAACTTAGCCCCGGGCCGGCCCGGTGGCGCACTGCTACAGTGCGCCACTTGGGAGTGCAGCGGCGCTCCCGCTGAGGGTTCAGATCCCACATACAGACCGGTTCCCACTCACTGGCTGAGCGCGGTGCGGGCGCAGCACCGAGGGTTGCGATCCCGTTGCCGGTCCCGGTCCGGTACAGGTGCGACACTGAGGGTTGAGATCTGTTGCTGGACACGAAAAAAGACAAAAAAGGAAAAAAAAAAGAAAGAAAGAAACTTAGCCCCCACTGTGACTGTAAGAAGGTGGGAAATCTTATTATGGGAATTGAAAGGTGGAGCCTTGAAGAGATGATTGGATTGTAAGACCATGCCCTAGTGAATGGATTATAAATGGTGGTCAGGGGCGTGGTTCTGAAGGCTTTAAAAAGTGAGCGAATGAGGAGATCACTCTCTCTCTGCTCTCTCTGCTTCCACCATCTTGCAGTGTGAGACCCCTGGGTCACTGTTGCCACCACCAGATGGACTTTGGACTTCCCAGCCTCAGAAAATGCAAGCAATAAATTTCATTTTCTTTGCAAAATACCCAGTTCTGTGTATTTTGTTATAAGCAACAGAAACGGACTAATACAACCATCCACCTCCAGAATCTTTTTCATCCTACAAAACTGAAACTCTACACCCATTAAACAATAACTCTGCACTCCCCCCAGCCTGGCAACCACCGTTCTACTTTGTGTTTCTATGAATTTGACTACTCTAGGTCGCTCATGTGAGTGGAATCACAGTGTTCATCTTTTCGTGAACGGGTTATTTACACACAGCCACCCTCTCCTCTCTGGCTACTATTTTCATGGCATGTCTTTATGTCTCTTCCTTCCTTCACTTTTATCCTATGTGTCTTTAGATCCAAAGTGAGTCTCTCATAGACAGCATGTACTTGGTTCATGTTTTTATTTTTAATTGTAAACTGATAAAAATATACTTGAATACCGTTATGGGGTAAAAAGTGGAATAATGATTTATTAATACAATGTGGAATGATTAAATCAATTAACATACCCGTCACCTCAAAAACATTTTTTCGTGGTAAGAACAGTCAATATTTACTCTCTTAGCAATTCTGAAATATATAATACACTATTATTAAGTATGTTCACCGTGCTGCTCAATCAACCTCAAACAAAACAAAACAAAAAAACGTATTTTTCCTGAGATCTTGTACCCTTTCATTACCAAATTATGCTCTTGGGTCCCAAAGTCATAGAAATGTATCCAGCACTAAAGCAAGCAATGCTTTATTAAAAGAGGAGATAGACTTATGCTTAGGGGGGTAGCTACAGGAAAGCTAGCCCCCCAAGGGGAGCTGTTCAGGGTCTTTCATACGGAAAGGAGTTTAGGGGTGCAGGCCAGCGTCACTGGAGGTGGTCCATTCTGTTCTTCCTGATTGCGTCGTGGGCACGTGCTCAGTTAGGGCTTTGGTCCTCGCACCCAAGATGGTGGTGGCGTTCATTATTGTTATC